ACTGCTTAAATCTTCATTAGTAAAAACTGAAAAAAAAAAGAAAAATTAAATAACCCAGCCATCTCATAATCATTAGATACTAGCCTTCCTTTACCATTCCTCAAGGGTTCTATCCTCATCCTAACATTTTGTTTATCCTTCATGTATTTAAAGAAATCTTTACTGTTAATTTTGACATTTTCAGCCAACCATTTCTCATACATCTTTTTTAATGTCCTAATTTTCTGTTTCACCAACTTTCTTGATCTTCTATAATCTTCTAAATTTGAGAAGCAATATTGTAAACCTACAATGATCTTATTAAAGGACTTCATAAGTAAGATTATTTTCATTTTACAGAACAAAAATAAATAAAAAATAAATGGAACAAACTGTAAGAAGTCTTGACGTTTGAGAAACTAGATTCAACATATTTGTATGTCTTCTTCAGTCTGATATTTTCTTATGAAGACTTATGAATATCAAAGCTTCTAACAATTAGTTTCATATACTTGTGGTTTTTTTGTTGTTCTCTAACTTTGCTTATACAATATTCAAACACAAAATGTAACTAAGTAACTGTACATTAGATTCATAATGATGGTAATTATTTAAGAAACATTACAAACCTGTAATAATGATTTTCCTCCTGTGCTAAGAAATGTTTTGCCAAATATCCACTCATAACGTTTAACACCATTCCTACTGTATTGACGACTGTCAAGAAACTGCTGGAAGGAACTGAAGTTCTCAGTAGAATTCTCAAAATGGGTCATTTTATCTGTCAGAAATTACAGTAATGTTATGTAAACATATTAATATGTTTTTTTTAGAAAAGTAGCTATAGCCTTAATCTATGTTTCAATATTACATTATTCTACAGATTCCAGATACTTACAAGGACTTAACAAATCAAAAAGACTGTTACTATACTTTTTTGTTTAATATGAAACTGGGATATCATGCCAATGACCTCACTCAACTTGGAGTTTTATTCCCAATTATATTTAACACAAGGAAATGTGTTTATTCTGAAAAAGTGATCTTGACCACTTTTTTTTTCTTTTCTGAAGAAATATAAAAGGTTAACACACACTTGTACATGTACACTGCTTGTTGAAACTTCCTAGATCATCGGGAAAAACAAAACAAATTTCTCAAAAAAAAATATCATAGTCTAATTCCAAATTATGCACATTAGCATTAAAAAATGACTAAAAATAAATTTGACTAATATTTCTTATGTTAAATCTAAAAGTTATAATTTTCCTATACTTAAAATTATATTTCCGATAGGTACTTCCCTCCATTCACAAGATAAGCTATTCTCACCCAATGCTGCCCTCTATATGCAAATTTTTTCTTTACACATGCCACAACTCTTCTGGTACCCTTTACTGGAATTGAGTAATCCCAACACCAACATGTCTCTCATGTATCTCTTCTCTACCAATAGGAGCATAATATACTCATGTGACTGCCTCTACACACCTCTACCAAACTATCACTTCCAGGTTTGGTAAAAGATTTAAGAACTACAGAAAAGTGAGGAGGAAGGGTAGGTAGTGTGAACAGAGGGAAGAACTTATCAGAAATTCATTTTGAGTATAGGAAAATTATAACTTCCAATATGGTACTTCTCCCTGGTCACAAGATTAGCTAGAATCCCACATTGATCAGGTGGCAGGACCGGTGCAAGGGAATGACAGAAGTACCCCCAAAAAGCATTGAAAGGATACCCCTGGAAATGAGAGAATCAGATCCAAATATCTGATGAGGGGAACCTCACCACTTCTGGACCAGGTATACTCTTCACCCATCTGTGAAATGTGTAGTAGATAAGGGCAGAAAAAGAGAGGAGCACATCCAAGTGGAGAACTCTGGCAGCATAGTGATCCTAACCATGTAAATATATATGTAACTCAATCCCACAAAGTATAAAAGTGGGTAAAACAAATGGATGTGACCTAAGGTATAGAGTGGCAAGGGTGCAAACGGACTGTACTTGGTAAGTCAACTACAAAACCCATGCCGCTGGGAAACGACATCCACATGGGGGTAGAATGATGATCATACTGTCTTCATTTCAAGTTCAAGAGATTGGGGGTAATCTAGAACCACTCTGACTCCTGAGCATAACACAGGTGTTACCTTTGATTTATCGATTCTTGGACTAACATTCAGAATCAAAAGAATGTCTATATAATATAAATCAACTCCCCCAACAGCAAAACTGACCAGAACCATCCAAAAAGCAAGAATAAGATACAATGAGGGATATGAAAAAGGACAGAACCGGAACAATTCCCCTTACTTCCACTGTGACCCACAACACAGAAGGAGTATGATCGAGAGAGGAATATATACAACCATAAACGTGTGAGGACTTATGTTGATTGGTTCTACTCTAAATTTAAAACCCAGCCACAGGGTAGGATGAGGGCTCCCAATCAAAGGGGTGAACTGCAATTTGACATCTTACTCCTTTGTGTGTGTATATGCTGCATATTGGAGGATAGCATGTCATCTACACCCAAAGAACACCACCACCCAACTGTGCACTGAATGGTTATAGCCATCTTTATGTGGAACCCATTTAGGAGGTGCTGCCATGGTCTTCTACCCCAGTGGCTTGGAACTGGAAAGTGGTAAGGACTCCCATAATCCACAAGAAGAAAGGGAGGTGATAACAAGGTGGAGAGTCCAGAGGAACATCATCTGAGATAGTGCAATGGGTGACCACAAAAACCTATTTTGAAAAGCATACCATACTGATTTATTCAATACAAGGTGTTTCAGGGATGAGTAGCTATCGCCTTTTGCTTTACCCATGCAGTCCATGGGTGGTACAGTCTGGAATGGGCAAGTTTATAAATCAATTACATTGCAAGGTTATTCACCTACAAGTGATCTTGTGGAACACCTCATCTCAACAGTAAGCATTACGAAGCCAGAGAAGATAAAGCTTGAATCAACATGGCTGTACAGTGCAGATTTCAAGTTGAAGAATACCTGGTCAGGCACAAATTGCCAGAGAGAAGGATCCATATAATGAGTAAATGAAGCAAGGGCCTCTGAAAGGAAAAGTATGAATATAAACTTACTCAGTCAAAGTTGTATTGAAGCCTGAAGAACAGCCACAGGTGGAAGATGAAAACCCAATGATGCAGAAGCCGTGATATGGTGTAAATAATTGAAGACAAATATATTAGGTGTAATCCATCTGCTCGACTACAGGATTTCCTCCAATGGCCAACGAAGACAAGAAGCGAGGGAAAAGGTGAGGTGTCAAATCTGATGAGAAGACAGTATAACAAATTTCACGAGGAAGAAGACAAGGAGGAATAAGCCAATCAAATCAAAAATCGAACCCAATTGGTGAGGGGAAAAGGGGAAAGATTCCAAACAGAGGAAGACTGCAAAGGGAGAAAGAGTCAGGAACAGGTACCATGGAAGGAAGCCATGTGGGAAATATAACAACAAAGAATATGAACCGGAAGTAGAAGGTATCCGGATCGGGACGAGGATAGAGAGGAGAAATAGAAAGAAGGGAAATATGGGAAAAGGAGGAAGTACCCTCCCTAGCTGCCAAGGTCTTTGGAAGTAAGAAATGGTCCCGATAAAGGAGAAGATAGGTAGGGTGGTAAAGCATATGTGAAATGTCAAAGGCAAACACATCAGACTTTCAACGTCCACAGGCTAAGAGGAGAAGGAAATATGTTTTAAGGGACAGGTTAAACATGGAAAAGGAGAAAAGTGGTTCAAACAGAGGTAAAGTGAGGGAAAGGAAGACCACATTAATATCACAGTCTGGAAGAGTAGGCTGTCTGGCAGGACAATGAATCTGGAAGGAATGCATTAACATGGTAAGGACAGGGGAAGCACAAACTTGATGGTATTGGGAAAAATGAAAGATATGGGAAAAGGCAGTCTGATAACCTGAGAGCTAGAAGACTGAAGACCCCTAGTCAAAAAGCCATGCAAGAAACTGTGCCACTAGAGCCACAGTAGGTTGGTCAGCAGGGAATCCCCATGTTACAGACCAACTGTGGAACATTTTCCATTTGTGCTGATACACCTCCATTGAAGAAAGACATATGGAATGAGCTAAAAGGAAATCTACTCAATGGGAGAAACCTGATCTCCTCACCAAGGACCAGATAAAATTCAGGCATGAAGATGAAGAACGTCATTAGTTGAATATAGAACTGGTGACTGAGGTTAATGAAGAAGGGAGGGAGACAAAGGAAGGGATACTGGAGGGAAAAGTTGTAGTTGTTGTAATCGTGGAAACTATGATTGAGATGGCCAATAAGGAGTGATCAGAAAGATCCAACACAGTATGGATGAGAGAGATCACCCAATGAAGTAATCGGATAGGAAGATAAACATAAAGGAATTTGTGGGACCAATCGTGACTGAAGGCATGGACAGCCAGAGCTCGAAGATTGTGATGTGGAGTCTCAGAGAGGAGATGGATGGTAGAGAGATACCGTAAGAGTTGTGAGAGTAAGATGAAGGCAGGAAAACTGGACATAGGTCAGGCTTACAGGAGATTTGAAAGCTGCACCCCAAATAGGCATAATGGAACCTAACAATTGCTGTTCCAGAAAAGGACAGTCTGCAAGATAATATGCATGAGCAAACTGATCCAAAGCCTGTGAGGGGGAGGGGGGGAGTTAGGCATGCAAATCCCATCACTTAATTGTGAAGCAAATTAGTCAGCATGTACCCGAATAACCAGGGAGGGGGGAACCAAATAGGAATGGGAAGATTGGTCATGTAGTAAGGAAGGATGCAGTTCATAGAAAATATGGGAAAGGGATAAAACATCACATACCTGAGAAACAAAATCCAAAAAGACCGTGTTAGGCCTAACTGACTCCTCAGGCGGGGCATGGAAAGGCACAGCAAAATCATGAGGTGGAAATAGGTGATCTAAGTCCTCATCCACCTGAACAAGCTCAGTTTGTTTGGGAGGAAGTGGGGCAAAGTCTGGAGACAGAGGTTGACCCATGTAATATTCAATCTCCTGGCAAATAAACATGGATAAACCCCCCCACCGTATCACCCACACCTGAGACATAGCACTAGTCGCAAGTGTAACCCCTGAAGTGGTAACATGAACTTGGGAATTCATAATGAAGAAGAGTCAACCAATAATCGATAGTACAAATACCAATGTGACTGTAATAAACTGAGATTAAAGTGAAGTTAAGAAACAGTCTTAATAGAAACTAGAAATGAAAATAAATGAAGACCACTTTATGAGTATACTAAAGACAAATGTGAAACTTTAAACAAACAAAAAGGAACACGTCCAAGCACAAGCACTGCCAAACGAGAAGTGATAGTTTGGCAGAGGTGTATAGAGAGAGTCATATGCAACATGTGAGTATATCATGCTCCTATTGGTGGGGAGGTGACGCATGATGATTTGCATGTTGGAATCAATCAATTCCAATAAGGGGGAGCAGAAGGCTTGTAGCATGCATAAAGAAAAAAACTGTATATAGAAGGCAGCACTGGACAAGAATAGCTAGTCTAGTGAGCGGAGGGAAGTACCGTATTGGAATATACTATTGTGACAAAATTTTCAGTTAACATATAGTAGACATCTTTCTTTTATAATTCAAGTAACACTTATATAATTACACAGACAATGTATTTTTAGGCATAGTCAGCACATGTGAATACATACTGGTATTTGTATTTGTGCTCAAATCTTATATCTACAACAAACAAATACTTCATATGCTATCACAATTAAACAAATTCCTA